GGGGGGGTATGGTTTTAATTTTTGTGGTATTGCGTTAAGATATTGATGTATAATTATTCGGTCTTTTTTTTGGTTTGTTTTGTGTGGTGTTGGTTGGCTTTTGTTGTGAAAATTTGTGGAGGTGATGAAGGACAAGTCACGTTTTTGGAACCAGGCGAGCAAAATGATTGAGCGAGCATTTGACGTTGCGGTGTTGGTGAAGCTGTTGATGTTGTTGTGTGTGACAGGGGCATGCTTGCTGCTGGGTTTATCAATCGTGGGATTCGAATGCTTGGCGTTGGCTTCTGGAAAGCTGGGCGGAAGCATTGAGATCGGGGAAATTTGGGGATGGTGTGGTGGAAGATATCAAGTTGTGTTGTCATGTGCAATATTCACAATCTTGATATATTGGAATAGAGATGTCGTTATCGTCAAACAGTTGGAGAGATAGAGAGAGAATAGCTGTATCTGTGTGTCACCCAATCTGATAACTCGGAGTGAGGTGAGTGTTTTGCTATCAATTCTTATCTCCGAAGCGAGCAAGACTCGGTTCCGATCATTACCATCACTTGTGACCACTTTCCCAGTGGCGGTGTCATCTCTGACCGAACCCCGTGATTGAGTTTCAAGCACAAGTCGGACCGCGAGATCGGGGAAATTTTACCTAAGAAGTTACGCAAAAGGAATCGGTGATGTTGTTCTGTTTCTGGAAGCTCACTGGAAGAATGTGGAGCGGCGGTCTGGGTAGCACCCCCGAGCGTGAAAGCCGGCGGTATCCGCCATGCTTGCTGGGATCTTCGTCCGGGATATGTCTTGGGTCCTGCCGTTAACTGAAGGGGCACTTATAACTTAACGGCAGTCCTGTCCGAGACTGGATCCAGTTGTGAGGTGGGATTTTGTTTTCTCAGCTTTTTTCTTTTCGGTGTAGGAGAGGGTGATGGGAGGGTGATGGCAAGATGAGTGAATTACAGGCATCAAGGTGGATAGTGATGGGTGAACCTTGAGGGTCAGTGATGGGGAGGGAGATGGAGAGACGGTTATAAATAGGAGATGTTGTTGGTTTTCGGTGAGATAGGTGGCTTGACTTGATTCATTCTTTCTCTCTCTTGTTTAGCGTCAGATAGCGGTTTATTTGCGACTTGTCATTTTGGCACTTGAGCCGAATTGCAGTTTGAGCTGTGCAACACACCCGACCCTTGCTGTCTGTCACGTCAACGACAATCTTCCCGAGGAGGCTCCGAAGACTGTTCTTTTCCCAAGAGGTATGTTTGGTTTGCTACTGTCATCATGTCTCCGTGTTTCGGCCCTCTGGCACATGCAGTTGTTGGTCGATTGGGACGTCGAATCTTGATTGCGGCAGGGCGGGACAGGGGCGGCTGAGTTGCCAGAGTTGCAGCCCCGAGGCGTGCAGTGGTGATCGTGTTGTGGAAATCAGGAGGAAGGGCCAGAAGAGGCATTTGATGTGCTTCCCCACAGCTTGGAAGCAGATGTCACCTTCTGCGATCAGCCCCCCGATGCTGTGGTGTGTGTGGTCTTGGCGGGCTGGCGGCACATCGTCACCGCGCATGTGGTCCTTGTGTTCTGCGATCCCGGCCGGCGCGGCACAGGTGGTGCCCGTATCTGACCGATATTGTTGGAGCAGCGCCCGTTGATACATAGATAACAAGGCGGTCTTCCCCCTTCCAAGGGATGGAGCCTTCTGTGTTGGCTCCATTACCTATTTCTCTTTGTCCTTTGTTCTCTCTCTTGGATTGTTTATCCCCCTGTCTAAAAAACACAGCATTGACAGCCGCTAGATCTAGATCGCGCACTGCGTTTGCTGCACAGCTGCAGGTCACCCGCCCTAGCGACGCCGACAGCAGCCGAGACCCCAGCTCGGTATAAGAACCAATGGCACCCTCCCGCCTCAGCGACATTGCAGACATTGCGCTGCCAACGACAAAGTCTACCAGCGCAACTGATACTGTCACCACTCTCCCAGACACTCCCGCCTCGAGCGTTGGCTCTCGCACTTTCGGCAGAAGCATCATGAACACATCGTTGATCGAGAGCAAGTTCCTCAGCCACCCCGAGGATTTGGGTGTGGTGGCTGTAGGTTTCTCGGGGGGTCAGGTATGTTTGGCGAGGTTCTTGTCTACGGGAATGGGCGAGAGGCTGACAAAGAGAATGAATCACAGTGCAAACCAGGTGTTGACGCTGCGCCATCAGCGCTCATCGAAGCCGGCCTCCTCACCCAGATCCGCGACGAGCTCGGTTACAACCTCCACGGCCATGACACAGTCCACCTCTACACCGACCTTGTGCCCAAGGAGGACCCCGACTACCGCAACATGAAGAACCCCCGCGCCGTCTCTGCCGTGACAAAGAAGATCGCCGATCAGGTGTACAACCAGGCCAAGGAGGGGAGACTGGTCTTGACTCTGGGTGGTGATCACAGTATTGCCATTGGCACTATTGGTGGTTCGGCCAAGGCTATCAGGGAAAGGCTGGGCAGAGAGATCGCCGTCATCTGGGTGGACGCGCACGCCGATATCAACACCCCCGAGACCAGCGGCAGTGGTAACATCCACGGCATGCCTGTTAGCTTCTTGACTGGGTTGGCCAAGGAAGACAAGGAGGATATCTTTGGGTGGATCAAGGATGAGAACAGGATCAGCGTCAAGAAGATCGTGTACATTGGTCTGAGAGATGTTGATGCCGGCGAGAAGAGGATCTTGAGGGAGAATGGGATCAAGGCGTTTAGCATGTTTGACATTGACAGGTACGTTTTTGGTGACGTTGTTGCCTGGGTCGGAAAAGAGAAGCTGACAAAAAACTTACACTTGGGCATCGGCCGCGTGGAAGGATATGGCTCTCAGTCCCATTGGCTCGCGAAAGCCCAGTATCGTCCGGATTTCGATATGGAAGCGCTAGGCTACATGGGGGGATCCAATTTACCTG